TTTTTTTTTTTTTTTACTGAATTTAGCATATTTGGTAAAACTATCTCCTTAATGGTGTTTTTGTTTGTTTGTTTGTTTGTTTGTTCTTGCCATTGAATGCCAACCCAGGACCATAAACAATTCTCTTTCAAGCTGGGGTTGTAAATCTGGCCAGAAAAGGGCATAGGTAGGAGGGCGAAAACTTAAGAGAAAGTCATAAAATAATATCAAATCAGACTTTTTGAAGAATCCCTCCCATGATTTTTATATTTAGCCTTTGCCTTAGAAAAAGTTGGTTTTTTTCCCCCTCTCAAATTCTTATCTCCTTTGTATTCAGAAGTAAGTTTTAAAGTCATCTTGTCTAACTCTAAAATCATTAATCCTCTAAGGAGGTATTTTAAACCTTGGCTCTACACTAGGATCAGCTATGGAAGCTTTTCGGAATTCTAACGCCCAGGCAAAACCTCACAACAATTAAATCACTTTCTGGGAGTAAGGCTCAGGCAATCACATCAATTGATCGATTGAGGAGAGACAGGGTTTGCCAAGTTGCCCAGGCTGGTTTCAAACTGATCAGCTCAAGCAAACCCCCTGCCTCAGCCTCCCCAGTACCATTTTTTTAAAAAAATACCTTCAAACATAAACTAATGCAAGCAGGTGATTGATTCCATTGTGTATCCAAGGTTGAAAGTCATAGTTCCTGGAACAAAGTTATTACTGATATCTGAAAGTTTAAATCTTACTTTAAGAAACCTCTAAATTTTTATAAAGGGGGAAACTTCCTAAAATTAGACTGCCTTTACAATCTATTCTGTACAATTTATGGTTGTTTTGTTTTTTGAGACAGGATCTCACTATGTAGCCCAGGCTGGCCTCAAACCCAAGGTGATCCTCCTGCCTTAACCCTCCCAAGTGCTGAGATTACAGGCATGTGCCACCATGCCCAGCATAATTTACATTTTAAAACATAGCTACTCTGTGCTCCAATCCATTTGGTTTACTTTTTCCCAGTTCTGCTTTTATTCTTGATTTTTTAGGAATGAAAAATCATGCTATTTGAGAAAAGTACCTCCTCTGTTTTTGCTTTCACCTCCATGGAAATCCTCTTTATTATCCTCACCAGAAGGATGCTCTTCCCTTCAGAGCTTCCCATTTTTGCTTATTCTATGTGGTTTTGTACCTTGGTTTTATTTCTCCTGCCAGTTTGCAAACTGGTTCTTATTTATCTGTATTATTGCTGTCTGACGTCTTTGCATTCTTTTGCATGCTGTAAATAGCATATGTGTTAGAATAAAAGAAAAGTAATGCTGCAGATGTGTGTTATTCTAGAACCAGGAAGAAAGCAGATATATAATGTTTTTTCTATTTACTTTCATGCTTTTTTCCAGTTATTCAAATTCTTGATTGAGATGACCTCTTTATTTGTCATTAGCTTTATGTTTACCATCCCATGTCTAACCATTGAGTAATCTTCAGGAACCATTTTCTGGAAATGTCAGCTCTGTAATTTGGAGTGCTATGTAGTTCCATAAAGAGAGGGATTTTTATTAAGTACCTGCTGGTGTTCTTTTCTATCACAGAGGAAATAGTTTGGTCAGAGGGCTCACTATTTTTCAATATAGATTGAATTTTAGATTTTGGCAACAGTTCATAAAGAAGATAAATCCCAAATCCTGAAAATGCATTACAGTTGTTTTTTAACACAGTCACAATACAGTGATGACCAAATTTTTACCACTGAATGAGAGACCATGAACAAAAAGTTTTTAGTCTTTTAGTCTATTTTTAAAGCAGACAGGTATTTGATGATTGTCATTGTAGATAAACAGAACTAGAGAGGAAGCAAATATGAAACTAGCAAAAGGGAGGTTTTCTTTCTAAGCACTGCCACTAGTTGTGTATACAGGTACTATTGTGTTTCGCCTTGCTGTTTTTAGCTTCAGCTTTCAGCTTCACTTCTTTAATGTTTTTGTCACAGAAGACTGACTTCTGGGTGAATTATATATCAGAGCCCTTAGATAAAAATGCAAGACTAAAATCATGTGAAAGTATTTTCCTGTCAGCTAGCTAATTCAGTTAGTCTAGTTCTCTAATGCTCAACATCATTTTAAATGGACTACTCCAAATAAATCATAGCATTTTCTCTTTAGTTGTATTTACTGTCAGGGAGATTTGAAGCATTGCATGCCTCCACTTTCCTCCCCAGACAGGACAGAGTACTGTCCTATTTTAGGAACAGTCTAAACTCTAAAATCACTTTTATTTTACCTGTAATTCTCAAAGCTTGAAATTACAGTTCGAAGTTGATTGGGTTCTCACCATCTCATTCAGATAGCAGATTTTGTAGATGAAAGCATAGTTTAGTCTTTCTTTTCTTTTATTTCCCCCTTAAATTTCTTTTTAAAGAAAAAATATTCACAACATTGCTGCTTGGAAGTAGAGCTTCTTGGAATATGCAAGTTCTTTAAATCTTGTTTGGGTTTGCGCTCGTGTCCTGCTGTAAAGATTGGATCTGAAACATCCTTGCGATGTCCCAGCTCCATCGTCTTTCCAAGATTTCTCAAACTCCCACACCCCCTCACTGTCACCACTTGGTTCCCCTAGGGCATATTTCTTTGCAATCTAGAATCTCCTTAGGCTTTGGGAGACATGTTGAATAGCATGTATTTCCAGCAACTTGATAGAGCAATTTACAGATTCTGTATGGGCATCTAGCACTTAGCTAAATGAACTCTACCTCTCTCTCCTTTCTCTGCTTTCTCTCTTTCAGCTTGGCAGTGACCTTGGCGGGGGCATTGGAGGAAGTCCGGCAGTAAGTGCCATCCATTTTTTTCACCATGGGAAGCGCTGCCCCCTGTTTGATACCTTTCCTTTGCACACACTGTCAAACCACTGCTGCTGCACACCCAAATCTCTATAGCAGTATATATTACACACCAAAATCTCTAGAAATGTATGAGAGGTAGAAAGTAGAACAGGGTTACTTAGAATCTTTGAGATCATGTACCACATGTGGTCTAGGGACATCATTAGGGATTGGTGCTCTGGTGCCTGTAGAGATCTTTATACTTCTGACATTAAAGAGCTAAAGGAAATAGAACCTCCCATCTTGACTAGAGGATGTTCTTATTCCCTGGTGTCATCCAGAAAGAACTTGAGAGAGTCAGCTGGACTCATTGAGCCTCTCCTCACAGATGAGTGAGTTTGGGAGTATGAATATCATCTCCCTCAGGAGAGCTTCCCACTAGGTATTTATGCCTAGATGGGAAAGTAAGACTTGGCTGGACCCAAGTGAAAATGAAAGTTGGATGAGGGCCGGGGATTTAGCTCAGTGGTGCCACCGCCTGCCTTGCAAGCGCAAGGACCCGGAGTTCGATCCCTGGTACCAAAAAAACAAAACAAAAAAAATTAAGTTGGATGCTTCTCCTTTCTGTAGAGACAAACGCCCCCCTTTTTAGTGTACTTGTAGGCCTTTTGCAAGGAATCATGGAAGCTAAAATTGGAAACTAGACAGACAAAATCTTGGATCACTGTATTCCTGTGTCTACTGAGTACTCTGTCTTGATAAAGCTTCTGAAGAGTATATGTGTATCTTGTCAGTGATGAAAAAAAACTAATTAAAAATATGAAGATATACCAGTTTGGCTCCTAGGAATATTGTAATTGTGTTTTCTTACTGGTTTATCAGTACTGCTAAAATAAATAGCATTTTAAGGGCTACTAATCTGTCGTTCTTCCTGATCTTCTCTCTTCCCCCACTTTTTTTTTTGCCCCTGCAGGTTGGACAGTCCTTCATCCCATCATCAGTGCCTGCAACCTTTGCTCCCTCACCAACTCCTGCTGTAGTCAGCAGTGGTCTGAATGACCTGTTTGAGCTGTCCACAGGGATAGGCATGGCACCTGGTGGATATGTGGCTCCTAAAGCTGTAAGTAGACTTTCTTAATGGACAAAACCCAAATTACTTCTACATTTATGTTACTTCTAGAACTAATAAATCTAAGATTTTGCCTTGGTTCTGAGGAATTTACAAAGAAGATAAAACACAGCTTCAGACTAATAGGAAGCACCATTAGCATCCTCATTAAACATTTTTATAGTTTATCAACACTGAAGTCAGTCTGCTGAAGGTCTGTTACACAGTTCATCAACAGGAAAAAAAATACAGTATAGAGAAGTAACATTATTTTGTTCCTTCATTCCTCCTTTTTGTTCATTTGTATTATATATTGATTCTAGAGTGCTATTGCTCAGATTTGATTTTCGTGGGTTTTCATATACCCCTGTAGAATACTGGTTTAGATTTTTGTCATAGAGGCTCCTCCAATCTCAACTTTGCTTGATGTCCATCAGATTAAAATTCACAACGGGAACCTACTTGTAAATGAGGCTCTTTTAAGCTCTTGGGAAAGATACTAGCCAGGTCAGGGTAGCTTTTATATAATCTTGCCTTGCTAAGAACTAGTGCGCTGTTTGCTTCCTGATTTTACTGCCTGCTCATCTGATTCCTTATGAGAATCTCTGCTAAAGACCTGTAGGCCAGTTGTCTGTTCCAGGATTTATAACTGTGTGTACAGGCATTGCATAGAATAATCAAAAAGATGGCTGAAAGCAGAGCCATAGTTTTCTGGCACAATTTAGCACTATACCTTTGTTGTGATATCTACTATGTTGGAAATAAGCTACACAGACCTTATTAATTTAAAAATCATATAATGTACTCCTTTACCTACAAATAACCTATTTAAATAATATACAGATATAAGACAAAAAATAGTCTCCTCGTGCTCCCATATCCCCATATATAGCCACTGTTAACTTTGTCATTTGTCCTTTCAAAAGAAAAAGATAAAGATCTTGTATCCTTCATAAATATTGTGTCAGTAGAGTTTTTTTTCAGTTTTAAACATTTATTAGTACGTGTTTGTAGTATTATAATTACACTTATTATAGGAGTTAGTACATATATATAGCACAGCTTAATTCTTCTTTGTCCTCTCTTCCCTCCCTCATTCCTCCATCTTTTACCCCCTCTCATTTGCAATAGATCTATCTCCCTGTTTCCTATTATCTATCTTTTATTTTGCTCTGTAAATTATTTATAATAATTTGCAATATACTGTTTTGTACATTGGTCTTTTACTACCACATTCTTTTTCTGTTTTGTTTTTTTCCCCCAGACGGGATTGAACCCAGGACCTTCACACTGAGCTACATCCCCAATCCTTTTTTTATTTGAGATGGGGTCTTACTAACTTGCTCAGGCTGGCCTTGAATTTGTGATCTTCCCTTCTCAGCCTCCTAGAGTTCTGGGATTACTGTGCCTGGCCCCACATTCTTTTGAGGATCTATGTCAGACATAACCATCTCACCCACCCTTTTTGGTTGTTCTAGTGTTGCAGTGAACACCCTTGCTATTTGTATGTTCTGGTATATTTTTGTAAATATATCTACAAGATAAGAAAACTTGAAATTTGCTTGATCATTTAACATTTTAGACATCACCAACTTGTGCTCCAAAGAGATGGCATCAAATTACTTTCCTAACAAAATAATAAGAGCACCAAATTCCTTAGGTTCTGTTATATTAGATATGACTGATTTGTTTTTGTTTTTGGTGCATTGAGGATTGAACCCAGGAAGGTGCTGAGCTTTGTCTTACTTTACTTTTTCCAACAGGATCTCACTGTGTAGCTCATACTGGCCTGGGACATGTAATAGGCATGTGCACCACCCATGGCTGATTTTTAAAATTTTTTTGACCAAATGATAAATTAAAAATAGTATCTTCTGAGCTTTTATTTCCTCTTTTTCTGCCTCTTCTTCCTCCTCTTCTTCTCTTCCTCCTCCTCTTCCTCTCTTTCTCCTCCTCTTTTGTATGGCTGAATGTTCATCATGATTATTTACCACCCACAAACTCTTTAGTTTTCTGTCCTGTGAGATCAGAACAATTCATGAATTTCCCGATTTTTTTTATAAGTTTTTTAGTGGTATAAGCCAGGAATATCATAGGTTTTGTGGCCAGGGATGAAATTATTTAAGCAACACCTGACTATTTATTACTTACCGTAATGATAGCAAAAGTTAGATATATATGTAAGATATTTTCTTGGAAAGGTTGCTAGTAAAGATAACAGTCTTCAAAGATTATAGCCATACTGTTTTCATTGGTAGATTCAGTTTCTTCCCTTTAAAACTTTTACCAAAACTAACAGAAAAAATATATTAAACTCATCAGAATTTCTTTTTTATCTTTTTTTTTTTTTTTTTTTTTTAGAATTTCTTTTTTCCTTGTATATGTATTTGGTAAGTGCATTCAAAAGCATTAAAATGATGAAGTTAAACAAAAGATGGAGGAAAGACCAGGGTTACCCGTAGTGTTGTTCTGTTTTATTTTGGTTTGGTTTTGGTTCTTAAATAATTGAGAATGGTGTTACAATTCAGAAAGTACTACTTGATCCAGATGTTTCAAATTGACTTGATATTTATAGTATAAAATCGCAATTGCCGGAGGAAGTGAAATTTTAATCTCATTTTTATTTGTTTAAAAAAAAAGAAATAGCATCAAGATAAATCTTGTCTGGTTCCTTTGGGCTCTATGCTATGTTTCAGGTCTGGCTACCTGCAGTAAAGGCTAAAGGCTTGGAGATTGCAGGAACATTTACTCACCGCCAAGGGCACATCTATATGGAAATGAACTTCACCAACAAAGCTCTGCAACATATGACAGACTTTGCAATCCAATTTAACAAGAATAGGTAAGGCATATGAGTCCTTGGCTTGATTTTGATACAGGAATGTACCATGTGTCCAGTAAAAGAATATTTCATTTAACATTGGTTAAAAGCTCACACCTTGGCATACTCTGAATGCAGAGTAAACCCTAACTCTTGCAAGTCTTATTCAGTTGTGACCTTCAACTATGGAGGGCACAGTAAATTTTGGAGGAGTATTCATCGATATGGATTGAAGGAACCAGAAATTACTGTCTTTTTAAAGAATTCTAGGACTAGAATGTTTTTAATAAAATAATTAAAATACACTTTTAATTGTAATCCACGTGTTTATTAAACAAAAATACTTGCCAGATCGTAGAAAGTAGGGGTAGAGTAGTGAACCAAACAAAGCTACTGTCTGAAGTGCCTAATTTGGTGGAGAAAAATTAATGTACTTTGCTTGATGTCGAAAATGTAAAAGATAGCAGTATACATCTTAATCAAATAATTACCGACAGACTCTCAGCAGTGACTTTTTTTGCCTTAAAAGTAAGAGAACATGAACAGTAAAATGTTGATTTCTTATATTTATAAAACATCAGTTTTTGTTAAGTTCAGGAGACTGGCTACTAGACTTTAATGATGGATTCACTCATTTGTAAATACAAGATATTCATCATTGTTATAACAAAGTAATAATTAAACTGTTCAAACATTTAATAAAATTTGTCAAAGGCAGTGACTCATTTATTTCTGATCACTTGGAAACACTTTGTACCCTGAATTTGAGAGTTTGACATATTAGAAATCATTTATGTATCTTTTAGTTCTGGATTTCCTTCTGTTAAGACCAGTTATATTTCCATTCTCTTTCAGGAAATTGGCCTTGTTAAGGAATAAGGCTGTTGGGGAATGTATTACAATAAAGGAAAGCTTTCTTGCCAACAGATCTCCATTTATCTTACCTTTTAAAAAAGTTATTGTTGGGTTGGGGATTTAGCTCAGTGGTTCTGCCACCTGCCTCGCAAGCACAAGGACCCAAGTTCGATCTCCGGTACCAAAAAAAAAAAGTTACACTTAGAAAGGCTTATATTTTTGTTCTGTTATAGTTACTCCTTTAGAATACATAACCTTGGTCCTTGCTTTCTAAAGTTTGTTTCCTTCTGTCTTCTGTATCCTCCCTCATGACCTAATCTCAGTAATACTGTCTTTCTTGACACTGATGGTACTCTTTAAGTATGCTTAAACTTCTACTTTGTCCTTGTTGACAAATGAGGGAGATAAGACAAATGAGGCTTAGTATCTATTCTGTTTTTCCTTTTTTCTCTCATTTCTATAAATTATTTCATTCTTTTTTACCATGTTTTTTTCTTAGTACATATTTGCAGTACATAGTGCTTACATTCATTATGGGGGAATATACATTTCTTTCTTTTTTTTTTTTTTTTTTTTTTTTTTTTGGGATCAACCGGGACCTTGCCCTTGGAATGCAGGCGACAGAACCACTGAGCTAAATCCCCAGCCCCTACATTTCATTCTTTTACCTGTATCTCTGTCTTGGATTTGTGCTTGTTGCCAATCCTTTTAGTTTCTCTTGTCATTTCTTGGATATCTTCCAATAGTTTCCTCAGAAAGAGTTCATATGAATATACAGTATTACTTAAATTTTCTCACATTGTCAAAACTGTGACCTTTACATTTGAAAATTCCCTTTTTTTTTTTTTTTCTGGTATTGGGAATCAAATCCAGAGTCTCACATGTGTTAAGCAAACACTGTACACCACTGAGCTACAATCCCTAGCCCACCTACTTGAAAATCCTTAACTTAAACTCTTACAAAGTGCTTTGTTTCACAGTGTTTTGTCTTTGAAAGTTTCTGTGGAAGTCTGTTGCCAGCTTGATTTTTCCCTCTTATAAGTGACTTGATTATTGTGTTAAGCAAGCCAGAGTTTTAGTCTAGGATTCCTAGAATTTTCTCAGTGTTGACTGTTCTTGGTCAGTCTTGCCTGGAATAAAATGTACCATTTCTTTCTTTCTTTCTCTTTTTTGTATCGGGGATCAGACTCAGGACCGTGCGCTTGCATGGCAGGCAGCAGAACCACTGGTCTAAATCCCTGACCCTAAGATGTACCATTTCAATTCATATGTTCAAGTCTTTTACTTAAGAAAGTTTTCAGCATTTATATGTTTAAATATTTCTCTTCCTTATTTTGGTTTTTTGTCATTCCCATTATGTATTTATTGGCTCTTATTTTTCTATATTTAACATGTACTGTTTTTCTGTCTAGCCTTTTAAAAAATATCATCACCACCATCCTCATCATTATTTTCTGGTACTAGAGACTGAATTAGAGCTTTTTTACTTTACAACCTATCCAGCCCCCTCCTTTTTTTTTTTTTGAGACAGCATCTTGCTAAGTTTCCCAGCCTGGCTCCAACTTATGAGTCTCAGGATCGCTTTCTTATTATATTCTGGTATACTGTAAGGTACAGTTTATCTAATAAAAGGGAAATATTTCTTTAGTCATTCTTAGAATTGAAAGAGATACTATTTATATACTCTTTATGTTTATTTTATAAATATTTTTGTCTTTTTACATCCTATCCTGCTTATTTACAAAATATAAACCAGGGCTGGGGATTTAGCTCAGTGGAATCACGCCTCTCCCGCGTGCAAGGTCCTGAATTCGATCCCCGGTACCAAAAAAAAAAGAAAAGACATACCAGTCATTTGTGCTCTATGTAGACTAGCTCTAGTGATTGTGTCCTGTGTATTTGAACAAAAAAGGAAAGTGGGAGTTACAATTAAACAATCTTCTGGACTGATCAGACAGGTGTCAAGCTATTGAAATAATGTTCATTTATTGTACTTTACAGAGTAGAAAAAAATTATTGAATCTTATTTCCCAAGGATTATCAAAAGAAGGATTTGTGTGGAGAGTGTGTGTGTGTGTGTGTGTGTGTGTGTGTGTGTGTACTGGGGATTGAACCCAGGGCCTTTGCACTGAGGTACCTTCCCCACCTTTTCAAATTGTTTTTTAAGTTACCTAGACTGGGTTCAAACTTGCAATCCTGCGTCAGCCTCCCAGCGTGCTGGGATTACAGAAGTGCTCTATCACCTCTTGACAGGATGGATTTATTTTAAAAATAAATGTTATCAAATTTGTGTCTTTTTAGTGACTTGGTAAATCACAGAGACTTTCAAAATCATAGCATTAGCAAAGCAGTTCTGTGCTTATGAATATTTTTTATCCTTCCTCCAACACATTTAATGGAATGATATGACCAGTGTTACAACAAGTGGGAATTGAGCACCTTATTTCTTACGATTCTGTCCATTTAATTGTATTGAAAAATGTTTCCTTGAAATGGAATAAAAGTCTACTGAAACGCAAGATGTGGCAAAATCCTACTTCTTAATTAATCTCCATGATTTCTTCATTCTCTTTCCAAGCTTTGGCGTCATCCCAAGCACTCCTCTGGCCATCCATACACCACTGATGCCAAACCAAAGCATTGATGTCTCCCTGCCTCTCAACACCTTAGGCCCAGTCATGAAGATGGAACCTCTGAATAACTTGCAGGTCAGAGCTTTACTTCACTTGTGTAGTATTAGTCAATATCATATCTATATTATATCTGTATGGAAAAGAACCCTTCAATAATAGTTTATTTTCCATTACCATAACAAAATATCTGAGGCTGGGTTCTTCATAGAGAAAAAAGGCTTGTTTTGTTCACAGATTTTAGTCATCAAGAGCTTGGTGCTTGGTTCTGGTGAGAGCCTCTGCAGCTTGTTCACATGGCAGACAGCATCATGGCAGGAGCATGTGTGATACAGAAAGCTATTAATGATAAGTCAGGAAGTCACAATGCAGGGAAGGGCTAGTCTTGCTCTGTTGATAAGTTACTGTCACAAGAACTATACAGGGTCCCATAAGAATTTAATGTCCTCTGAAGGTAGTACCCCAATAACTTAACCACCTCCATTAGCCATTTACCCACCTAAACTGTTAGGGAAGAAACCATAGCACACTCTCTATGTTATGTTAGAGTTCATGACCATGAACTATGGTTTCAAATAACTTTGTGGAAAAGAGTTTTGTTTTTAAGGGTAACAAAAGTCATACATTAACATAGAGGTACTCTTTTTACTCATTAAACATTTAGAAACTTTTTTCTTAAGTTATGTACAAACTTTTTTCTTTAAAACTTTCATAGCAAGGTTGAAATGTAATTTATATACGAATAAATTTCAGAGGAAATTTATATGGAGGTTAGTTTAAACACTGAATCACTGGATTTAAATGTCCGTCAGCACATATCTATGATAAGTGAAACAACATGTTAAAGGAAATAACAGCTTTAGCACATCTTCAAGAGGCTATTGATTTTGAAAGTGTTGATTAAAAAAAAAAGCTTAGATATTAGCGTTGAGTTTCATCCAGCTTTCATCTGTCTTGAATTCTCTTTGAAAACTATAAACCTTCTGGTATTGAAGCAACATGAAGGCAGAATGGTAATCATAAGCTGAAACTATAGTGCCCTGGAGGAATATTGGCACAGCTGTAGACCTAGATATTGTGGTTTTAATGCTCAAATGAGCATTAAATGAAATGAGGATCTGGAAAGATGTTTCTGATATTCCAAGAAAGTGACAGGATCGTTCCTCTCTAAGCAGAATTCTGGGCAGCATATTGTAAGAAAGCTTCCTATGTGCCATACATGAATATATAGTCCTGTAGTCCAAGTGTATATCAGCTGTGTAAATGCAGTAATCACCAAACCAGTAAATCAGGTACAGTTGGTCCAGCACTGGTAAAACCTAGGGTACCTAGCAGAAACGAATGGAAAGCAGTCCTTTAGCAACTAAAATCTGGATCTCCTAGCTGAAAAGAAAATCTTCACTAAAAATAAGCTCATAATTTAATGACAACAAAAATGGAAAACTACATTGTGAAGGACAGTCAAAAAGACACACCAAAGAGGAATATTTAAATGCCTCTGTCAACACATATCTGTGATCCCACCTCTACCTAGAAATTGAGATGATAACACAGTTTGAATGAGACTATGAAATATATTTAAAATGATGACAAATACCATCCTTCCACTTTCCAGTCAAAACAGGTAGGAATCACATTGCTCAATCTTCTAGAAATACCACTGTGAAATATTAGTCCCAATGTAAGCAAAAATAAAATTACTTGGAGTTAATACTAAATGTTCTGAGTAGTTTAAATATCAGTGCATCAGATTTGTTTACTGGCTCATTACTTTATTTTCACAGTAGTTGACTGCTGCTTTTTTTAGCAAAGGGAATAATGATTTAGAGAGTAGACAAGTGACTCACAATTAAGTTGTCTTAGACAAGAATAAAACAAGGATTACTATGTAGGTAGAGTTGACTGTTACTTTGAGAGTAAGGTGTTAAGGGACTTTTCAGCTCAAGATCCTGAAGTAACTAACCCAGATCTGCATCTGTTCTCTTTTCTTGAAATCTAACCTCCCTCCCATTGACCTCAAGCCTAATATTTGAGAACAGTCAGCTTGCATGCAAGAATGCTTTACTTCAGCAATAGAAAAGGGAATTTGGGTCACAGAATATTATTATGCACATACTATATATAATTCCCCATGTAGTGACCAATTCATTTAACAGCCTAGTCACAGTAACATAATGCACTCATTAAATCAGGAATATCTATAAACAAATACCAGTTTACTTTCCTATTTGTATATATATTTCTAAAAGGCAAACAAAATTTTCCTCTCTATAGTCAGCTATTTGATTCTTTGTTTTCTCCATGGGTTTTCTTCTTTCAGGAATGTTGTAATTTCAGCTTTCTGATTAATTGGCATTTCCCAGTGGCTAAGCAAAACTTGAAAAGAGATGCCTTTTTCCCCTTTAAGCAGCTGTATTTAATATCCGCTGGTAGAATTTGAAACTAATGGCTAGCTTATGATGGGTGAGTTACTTTCAAGTCCACTTTCCATTCTGCCCTTGTCCCCACATGAACAAGAAGAATCAAAACTTAATCCCATCCAGCTTAGATCACCTAGATCCAGATAAAGCCAGGTAAAGATTTTCTAGCATTTAAACATATTTGCATAATATTTACATTCAAAAGCTCATGTAGGAAAATTAGTACTCACCCAGTACTTTTATTATACAATAAAATCAGAAAGAAAAGTGTTTGGGGGTTGAAAATATGAAGTTTTGAATGCCTTGTGAGTTTTTGCTATTTTGGGTAATTTTATATCAATGTGTAGAACAAATCACTTGTCAAATTATAATCTGATGAAAGAAAGAAACAATTCACTAAATTGCTCATTAAATAAGGTGTGGTGAAAGACTGAGGCGATCATAAGTTCAAGGCCAGCCTGGGCAACTTAGCAAGACCTTGTCTCCAAATAAAAAGGACTGGGGATACAGTTCAGTGATAGATGCCCCTGAGTTCAAACCTCAGTGCCGTGGGCCGGGGTGCTCATTAAACTTACTGGCTTATATGGCTCGTTAAACTTTATAATGGCTGAAGATAGCATTCCTTCTCAGAATTTGAACTGCATTATGCCTCAGTGACAGTTATATACCTACTAGATATGTGAACCTAGAAAAAAGTTTTTGTTGTACTGATGTTGGTTATAAAACCCTTTGTGAGTCTGGGGATGTAGCTCAGTGGTAGAGCATATGTGAGAATCTAGGTTTATCCTGGCACCATCTGAAAAAGGCACCTTTGCCAGGCATGGGGGCACATGCCTGTCATACCAGCACTCAGGAGGCTGAGTCAAAAGGATTTCCATGAGTTTGAGGACAGCCTGGACTACCTAGTAAGTTAAGGCCAGCCTGAACTACATTGCCATAGCAAGACCCTATCCAAAAAAAACAAAACAAAAAACACCTTTGTAATTACAATTATGCTTGTCCCCACTGGGAACCTTGCTTGTTACTTATATCATACAGTTAAATTCCTGAAAGAGTTTATTCCCTGTACTTAAGAAAAAAAAAACTTTAACAAATTTTCCAGACGAATTTTTCCCTACATGAGTTAAAATGGCTCTGATGGTGTTGTAAATCTTATTTGCTAATTGCTCAGAAACATTTTTTTCAGTTTACTTTTTTTTAAATAGTTATTTTGAGACAGATTCTTGCTAGTTGCCCAGGCTGGCATTGAACTTGAGATCCTTTTGCCTTCCAGAATGCTGACATTACAGATATAGCACAACACTTGGCTCCAGTATATTTTAAACTTGACATCTGGCAAGTGACTGATTCTTCAAGTCAGTGTTTACAAGGAGACCATGGACTTAGGACATCCTATGTGTTCAACCCTAAGGTGATGTCCATGGTCTCTGCATAGACACTGTAAAGTCCCCACAGCTGCTCAGCTTTCTTTTTCACTGAGTTGCAGACTCTCGCAAGAACATTGATAGTGTCACTCCTTCAAGTTAATATTTGCCAAGGTTGCAGAGGCACGGTTAGAGTCAACTAGTTCTACAGTTAAGAAAAACAGTGTAGGAGGCGGACTGGAGCTGAGTGGGCCCTGAGGGTGCGCCAGAATGAGTGGTGGTGGTCTAGCACGAGGTGGAGCCGGCCTGTTGGCCAACGCAAATCTGGCTGGTCCTGCTGTGCCTGTGTGTGCTTGGGCTCACCCTGCACCTCTGGCTGCGGCTGCACTCCCTATCGCCCACCCTCGCCTCTGGGGAAGGCCAGGCAGATCAATCTACCTTACTTCCTCAGTGGAAATCTAGACACTATGATGTGATGATTGCTGTGTTGTCAGCTAAAAACAACCATGAACTTCAAATGTGATAAGAAACACCTGGCTGAAGCATTTGGCAGAACATCCAGCCTTAAGTCAACGTGTGCTTGTGAAGTTCATAATAGATGTTCATGGCTGTGAAGTGCCTGTGGAAGACAGGGAGGATCCTTATTCCTGCAGGCTGCTCAACATCAGGAGTCCAGTTTTGAATCAGGAAATTGAGGCATCAGTCTTTCTGAAGATGCTACATTAGAGCTCTCTGAGGACCAAGCTGTTATTGTGAGCTTCCAAGTTCTCTACCCAATCGTTTTTACCAGTCTCAGGGTGTTCTATGACACCAGTGCCGTGGGTTTCCAGAGGAACATCACAGTGAAGCTTTATCAGGCAGAACAGGAGGAGGCCTCTTCATTGCTCGCTTTAGTCCTCCAAGATGTGGCATTCAGTTGAACAAGCTGTGTTCAAGCCTGTGGAACAGTTCATCTTATCAGAGAATTTTGAAGGTACAGTAGTGTGGGAAAGCCAAGACCTGCATGGTCTTGTGTCAAGAAGTCTTCACAAAGTAACGGTCAGTGATGGAGGAGGAGTTCTCAGAGTCATTACTGCTGGGGAGAGCGTGCTGCCTCATGAATACATGGAAGGTGTGGAGGGAGTTGGTTTTATTTACACTATTCAGGCAGGTGATGCTCTCTTATGTAACCTTCACTCTCGGCCTCAGCAACTTGTTGATCATATGAGGAATCTCCATGAGGAAGATGCCTTATTGAAGGAAGAAAGCAAGGTCTATGGTGACGTTGTCTTTGTGGATGTTGTCGATACTTAGC